CTCCAAGGAAACATTACTTTATACATGCCCATCAATGAGTTCTAGTAGCCCAAGTACAATTCCCAATAATCTCACATATTTTGGCTCTCACTAGTTGAAGCCAGGAATCACATGATCTTAGCAGCTAGGATTTACAGAGAAATTGACTCTAAAAATTTTGGCTAACAAGGCCAAGGCAATTAGCATTAGACTGAGAAATCAAATTATCTAAAAACTTTAAATCTGAAACATATCTATTATGTTCCATGCTACATGATATCACATATTAGCCTCACTCGCATTGAAAATTGTGGCTGGCATTAGGATTGGATTAATTCAATAATCTGGGGTGAACTCAACACCACATATTAGCCTATTTTGCTGACCATGTGAGAAAAAGTGCAAATAAAAATGTTAATTTTGTTTTTTAATTTATTTAAAAATATTAACTTTATCAATTTTTAAATAAAAATACCAACTTTTAACTTTTTTTTTTATTTAAAGATATCAACTTTAATTTTTTTCTATTTAAAGATGTCAACTTTTAACACTCCGGTTATAAAATCTATTTATCATGTTAGTATTATCATCTAATTAACTCTTAAATAGAAAAAAAATTAAAAATTAGTATTCTTAAATAGAAAAATGTAAAAGTTAATATTTTTAAATAGAACAATATGAAAATTAGTATTTTTATTTAGAAACTAGTAAAGTTAACACTTTTAAATAAAAAAAATGTAAAGTTAACATTCTTATTTAAATCTTTTTTCTGACCATGTCAGTTCAACAACCCATAGGCCAAAGTCAACCACACAGATTGTCACAATCTAGAGAATTTTGTGATTGACAACAGAGTCGAGTTAATTGTATAAAACCTGTACTGAACTCAATATGACATGTTAACCTTGTTACCATCCAAAATAAGATACACAAATGATTAAATTGGAAATTCACAGAATTAAATAGCAATATCAGAGTGGGAAGCAACCTCAAGGCAACGAGAACATAAAGATCAAAAAGATGCACTCGGTAAAGGAAATCTAATATTCTCGCCCTTTAGTCAAGCAAGAATGATTTTCAATTTGAAGGAAGCCCTAAAAGCCCTAATATTATGATGAGTAATTACATTTTACTACTCGGAAATGCCTATTCTCAATTCAACAAAACCTAGGTTGAACCATACCGATTACCCTCAAACTAGAAAATTGTGTTTAACATCAGGGCTGTGTTAATTCGACAAACCTTAGACCAAGGCTAGGATTAGGGGTGTTCATGGTGTGGTTTAGTTTG